AATGAAATATCACCTCACATCAGTCAGAATGGCCACAATAAATGCTGGAGAGGGTATGGAGAAAAAGGAACCCGCCTACACTGTTGGCGGGAATGTAAATTGGTGCAGCCACTATGGAGAACAGTATGGCAGTTCCTTAAACTAAAAACAGACTTATTATATGATCCAGCAATCCCACTCCTGGGCATATATATGGAGAAAAATGTAATTCAAGAAGACATGTGCACCCCAATGTTCACAGCAGCACTATTTACAAAAGCCAAGACATGGAAACAACCTAAATGTCCATCGACAGATGACTGGATAAAGAAGATGTGGTGTATGTACATATAATGAAATACTACTCAGCCATAAAAAAAGAATAAATGCCATTTGCAGCAACATGGATGGACCTGAAGATCGTCATTCTAAGTGAAATAAGCCAGAAACAGAAAGAAAAATGCCATATAATATTGCTTATATGTGCAATCTTTTTTTAAAAAAAGGACATAAATGAACTTATCTACAAAACAGAAACAGACTCAGACACAGAAAACAAACTTATGGTTACTGGGGAGGAAAGGGGTAGGAAGGGATAAACTGGGAGTTCAAGATTTACAGATACGAACTACTAAATATAAAATAGATAACAAGTTTATACTGTATAGCACAGGGAACTACATTCAATATCTTGTAGTAACTTATGGTGAAAAAGAATATGAAAACAAATATATGCATGCATATGTATTGCTGATCACCAGAAATTGACACAACATTGTAAACTGAGTATACTTTAATGAAAAAAAAAAGAAACAAACAGAAATTCTTGAGTTGAAATACAATAACTCAAAACAAAAATTCACTATAGGAGTTCAATAAGAGATTTGATCTGGCAGGAGAAAGAAAAGTGAATATAAAAACACACTGATTCTGATGACCCATGCTACAACATGGGTGAAACTTGAAAGCGTTATACCATGAAATTTAAAAATGTCAAAGCATCATATATCATATGATTTCCTTTACAGAAAATATCCAGAACAGGCAGAAAGTATGCCCATGGTTGCCAGGGGCTGCAAGGAGAAAGGAGTGGCAAGTAACACTACTGGGTACTAAGTTTCTTTCTGGGGATGACAAAAATGTTCTGAAATCAGACCATGATGACCATTACATGATTCTGTGAATATATTAAATACCACAGACTTGTACACTTTAACAAGGTGAATTTTATGGTCTATGAATTATATCTCAATATTGGCATTGTAAAAAATTAATTTTAAACTTATTGGTATTATAGCTTTATTTTTAATCCATAAATACAGGTTCGAGCTTTACTGCTGTATACGAGTTATAAGCATTAAGTGCTTATACCAAGCTCTACCTTTGGGTACACGTAAGTAATGTCATAATTAAAATAACCTGTCGATAGTCTGATTTTGGTCAGTTATCCTAAAATTCACACCCCAATTGTGGTCTGCTATCCTCTCACGTAGAAGCCCACGGTTCTGAGGCAATTACTAAGTTTTTCTGTTATCACTACCAACATTAGAGACTTCAAATTAGCATAATGATGGTTAGAAGTTGGTCTTCAAGAGTGAAAATGAGTGACTGGTTGGTCAGTAAAGTGAAAGTACCAATGAGTTCTCCTGGGAAATCAGCAGCCTGCAAGGTATCTGAATTAGCCATAACGTCCTAAAGATAACAGCCCGGCATGAACAGGGCACAGCAATTTCGGGAGGCCGGGCCCCTGAACTCTCAGGGGTGATGCTCCAGACTTCTCAAGCTCTCGCACTAGAGGATTCTGGTTGCCTGATGCCAACTGAACGGGGAACAGAATCCTACTTCTACAACAACAGTGGGCAAACTTTTTCTGGAAAGGTCTGTATAGAAATATTTTAGACTTTGTGGGTCATCCTGCCTCTGTGTAACGGCTCCTCTCTGCCACTGTAACATGAATGCAGCAATAGACAACACGTAGCCAATGTGCACGGCTGTGTTTCAATAAAACTTTATTGACAAACACAAGAGAAGGCCCGTCCTCGGCCAAGCCTGCTCTAGAACACTGTGTCTACATCCTGCAAGGTGTGGCTGCATCACTGTAAGAACAGAGAGGACACTCCATCAAGCCCACACTCCAGATGTCTGCTCACTGCTGCACGTTTGCGCGGCTTTCACGAGGAGCTGCAGCCAATCCTCACCTGCCTCCACCTCCTTGGCAACAACTGTTACCTCCCAGGAAGATCCTAACAGCTGTATCTCACCAAGTTCACAAGCAAGTTCACTTTGCAAAGGTGCTTCTCACTGTCACTTTAATGGCCCTAGCATTTGAGACAAACTATTACCACAAGTAGGTGAACTTCATGTCAAAAACCAAGAAATAAAAATTAAACTTGGGTTAAAAAAAAAATCAAAAAGCATCAGACACAAAGCACATGTGAAGTTAGAGCCAGGTCAGTAGGGTACCAGGGAAGGTCTAAAGCCCTGAATTCCAGCTCCACCCCACAACCCTGATGGCTGCCCTGACATGTTCTCAATAACTAACTTGCAAAGAACTGGAATCATTCACGGTGCTCGAAAAAAGCAAAAGGGTCAGTTGCCCAAAACCAATTTTCTGTGGTTTTGCAATGAGTTCCTTGACTTCCCTAATTTGATTTGAATCCATTTAACATTAAAGTTGCTCAGAATTCCCCAAACCCAGCATCCAGAGCGCTGGGCACACCCCAGATAAGAAGTTACAAACTTAACAGACCTAACACTCCTACTGATGGCGTTGTCCACCCAAGGCCAGAGTCGCCATCCTCATGGCTTAGGACTCTAATGTAATACGGAGGAAAATATCCATTTTTATCATCCACTGCCAATTGTGTTTCTTCTCTCTTCAGTCTATCCATTGAGAAATGTTCCTTTGATAATATAATAGATCATTATCAAAAGCTTCTGCATGTAGAAGGCCTCAGGGAAGAGTGTCTCAAATTTTGGAGATTCTTAGGCATCATACAGATGCCCAGGGGAAAAAGTGCATTTGGGCCCTGCCATCTGCATCTGGTACCCAGGGCCATTGCTGATGCTGCCACAGGCAACCCTTCCAGGACGTGGCCGAGTTCATCTTACCTACAGCCTCCACTAAACCGCTGACCTTGGAACCTGATGTCTGTCCACATGCTGACGGAAGAAGCCAACACAATGCTGCCGCCAATTCCATACAAATAAAGAAGCCATACACGGGTTAAGTTGACAATGAAGCAACCAATAATTTAATATTCCCCCACCTTTACCCCCTAAAAACCTAGCAGCCTAATCATTCTAAATAAGGCAGGCAAAAATTTATTCAACTCTGTTGTACATCTGCTATGTATCAAGCATTGTGCAAGATACAAGGTACCAGATCAGTGATGATCTTACAGAAACAACCCTTGATCTCACCGCTGGACAGGAGGAATAAACACATCACCACCGGCTCTCTGCAAATCAGCTGTGTCTAGAGAACAGACGTACTGTGAGGTCAGACTGGGGGGCACAGAAAGCTCCAGATGGGATACAGCTTCCTCTCAGGTGAGACATCTAGAAATAACTGGGTTAAGAGAAATGGACACCAGCTCACACCTCAGCCCCAACTCAGTCCGTAGAATAAATCTGGCAGTCACCGTGCCTTAAAATGAAGAAATTAAAATCTTACCAAAAAACCCACGCCCAAGAAACTAAAACAAAAAAAGACCTACGAGGGCTGCAGACAAGGTTGTGAACACTACTGGAACTTGGGGCCACTCAACCGGATGTCACAAGGTATCAGTCCCCAGGGCTGACTTCTCACGTCTACACTCCCAGCACACCCCTGCCCGAGGCAACGCAAAGATGCTTGTGTTCCTGGGTGGCTCTGTGTGCGAGTGTAAGAGAAAGGGGCAGAACGGGAGAGGCAGAGTGCAGATCATCCAGGAGGGACTCAAGACAGGCAGCCTGACGGAAGGAAACTTGCCATCGTTCAGTGCTTTTAGAAAACATTTTGCAAGGTGTGTAATGGGGACCCCCCGGCCTCCCGCATCTTGTCCTTTCATTCCAGCCTCGCTCTCTGCCTTGCCTGTTGGAGAGATTATCTCTCTGCCCTAGAATCCTACCACGGGGGCTGAGCCGCTTCTGCCTGGCCAGCTACCAACCAGGGAAACAAGTGAGAGCCTGGAGGGAAACATGACATCTGGTTTTAGTCCCTAAGGTTAACCGTGACAGGACAGAGAGCGACCTCCCAGTCACCAGAGGCCTTCATCCGAGCCCGAGGTCAGGGAAGCAAAGGCCGCGTTAGGAAAGCAAGCTTACAGCCCCCAGAAACAGCAGCCCAACCTGCTCTCAACCAGGCCAGGCCTGGGTTTTCCCTGGACGCAAGGTCGGGATGGCTGCAACGTGATGCAGCTGCGAGGCGAGTCCTGTTGAATAATCGTCTGTGGTTTTCAATGAGCAAGCCCTCCATGTCAGCATCTGGCTCCAACACATCAAATCAAGGAGAAGACCTTCCCAAAGGCCGAGAGTTAAGCTACTTACTGACAGCTGCAAGCGTAATTACTGCTTTTCTTGGAGCATTAACTCCCACTAGCCAACGACTACACATTCTATTGGCCACGTAAATGAACGTGTCCAAAACTTGCAGAGAAATCGGCCTGAGTTGAAGGGAAATCAGGCAGTGAGGTTAGAGGGAAAAAAACCACTGAACCGCACCCCTCCTTTCTGTGTCCTTTTAGTTGGAATTTCAAAGAAACAGGTGTTTGTCAAGGATGCTTGGCTACCAGCAATCGACCAAATTCCCAGCACCCAGAGACACTCCGAGGGGTTGTCCGAGCTTCTCCACTCCTCGACCTCCCAGAATCTTCCAAGTCTCTAGGGAGTGTTCATCTATGTCCAGCACCTGGTCCAGCTCCCCCTGGCACGTCCATCCAGCCCCTCCCGCCTGCGCAGACTCACCTGCCCGACCACAGAGCGCCAAGGCTCAGACAGCAAACGCAAAAGCAGTTGACTCCCCGGTGCCTCCGACTTACCACCGCCTTTGTGGCAAACATGTACTTGTCCCGGAGCTGGAAGTCCCTCACTTCCTCCAGGACGACCTCCAGGTTCTCCCGGGACTGGAAGAAGTCTGTACTTCGGAAAACTGTCGAGTAGCCAGAGGGCTCATGCCGTTCCACGTAGATGGTGTTGGGTTGATCGTACGGATCGATTCCCCTGGGGGGAAAAAAACAGATGCCATCATTTCCGTGTTTAATCATTGGAGGCATGGAGGGTCTACCATGCAGACCACCAGCTAGAACTGAGAGCCACCGTGGTGGGATCTGTCAGTGACACTCTCTGTGCCGCAAACATCCCTTTGGTTGCTCCTGGGCTCAGCAGAGGGAAAGGAATTGTCATTTGTAGAGTGTTTTATGCTGGTCCTGCTGTTTACAAGGTAGCTGGGGGTTTTGCTCCAGGCAAGCTGGGGCCATGCTTCAGGAGAGGGAAAAGAAGAAAAAGTAAGAGGCCAGTGGTTGAGACTCCGTAAGGACTGCTTGCTTGAACCTGTCAGCAAGTTTCCGCCTCAAGTTATGAAGCTCAGAGCATGAAGGGGCGTTTGTCCCCAGCATGCTACCTTCTCAGAAGAAAAGCTCCAGGGGAAACCACACCTGAGGAACCACGAGGCCCCTCTTTCTCACGGACCCTGCCCTTTCCCCTTCTGTCTGTCCCTGGCTGTTGTCACCCGTCTATGCCACCAGCACAAATTCACCTCCTACGAGGCTCCTTCACAAACTGTTTTGTGCACGTACGGATGCCCTCAACAGCCTTCAGAAACACAGGGTTCACCCCTCCTCTGCTCTGTCCACACCGCCCCCTCTGCGGGGATGTCCTCTGCCTCGACACTGACCTACACATCGAAACCCTACTTGTCTTCTGAGGTCTAGTGCGAGTCCCCCTCCTCCAGGAAGCCTTCCCCCAGTGCTCTTCTCCGCCCTAAATCAGCAATGCGTCTCCGCTGCCATCAGTTTCAAGCCTTATTATGAGCTTCAAACAAAGGTAGAGAATCCCCTTGGCTAGTGGATTTGGGACTCGCCCTCCTCAAGCCACACAGCAGTGCTTCTTAGCCACTGTCTTATGCTGTTCATCGTAATGTGGTTGTCTGAGCTTCCCAGAGTACAGATTCCTTTAAAGGCCATTTCTTTTTATCCTGCACAGCTCCCAGTTGAATTGATCTTTGCTGCATGGATCCACCGACCATATTACAGAGGCTGTTCCAAACTGAAAACTGTAGCGTGATGAGACCAAACTGCCTCGGAGAAGCTGTGCACTGGTGAGCCCCCCCGTACGGCCCCAAAGAGCAGCTTGGGAAGATGGCTAACCTGCCCGGGGTTTCCTCACACGCACAGGAACACCAAGGCCAGGGGGCGGGTGGGGTGGGCATTCAGCCAGCAGGAAAGACAGCTGGAGAAATCAGGAAGAGAGCTCCGTAGTGAGGATGCGGTGATGACCCAAGGATACGAAGGGGAACTCGTTAGTGCAACTGTCTTTGCACAGTTCTGTAGGCACAATGGCTCTCGGGATCATGAAGGCAACAAAAGAAAATTCCTTCAAAGATGTACTGTCAACAGCATATTCCAAGACAGACAGAAGGAAAGGAAAGGAAGAAAGGAGGAGGAAGGAAAGAAGGGAAATGAGAAACAGAAAAACAAAAGCTCCTCTTTTTGTAACCGGGGAAAATGTGACTTTCGCTCCACAATCTGGAGTCCTAGTTGGACACTGGAGAAAGCAGCCTGTCCTGATGCAGGAGACAAGTAAATGCTCGTCACCAGATGCTGTGTGCAGAGCGGGGGAGGGCGTGGGGTGGCGGGAGGACACATTCTCTTCCTTTCCACAGTTAGAAGTACTCATTAAAGTACTTCCTCTATCCTGGAGGATATGCAAATTAAAACGCGCTGGGTATTTTTAAAAAGGCAGAGAAGAAGGGACCTTTATTCAGATATTCTGAGACGGCGCTCACCTCTGTTATTCCTTCCTGGCCAAAAGCAGCAGCCAGCATCTAGCGATGGAAGGAGCTGTGACTTTCATCCCAATTCTCTTCCGTAATCCCTACTTGAACCTCCCACTTCCGAGAGCTGCTCCCGCTGCAAATTCTTGTACTTTGCAATCACCAGCCTCCCACTTTCCACACTCACCAACACCTCCTTCCAATTCTCTGTATCCTCGTTTGGAAATTCCAAGCCTTGCTCCGTCTCTGAGCACAGTCATGGGTCCTGGGCTGGCCTCACCGCCTCACTTACAACCCTTCAGTGATGTTCCTCGGGGCATCCCTGAGCCCCTCCCCTGTAGCTCTTCCACTGTCCTGTGTCGCCAGTCTGCAGCTCTGGATAACACAAGTCATCGGTCTTCCTCACTCCTGCTCCAGGGCTGCCAAGCATTGTTGGACAAATGTATGCACCTTTATTCTCTGAGAGGTTAGATTACACTCTCACCTATTATGGAGAATCCTAGAGGGAAATCTCCCCAATAGCCTGAAATTCCCTGACACAAGACATGTAATTATCCAAAATAAGCTAGGCTGGTCCTCTCCCCTAAGATGTCTACCTGCATGTCTGCACAGAGGCAGAAGGCACCACACACAAACTCCCAAACGTGAAGTTCTCTATTTAGTAATCCTGCTGGTTTGCCCCCTTAATAGATGAGTCTCTAAACAGATAAGAGTAATTTGTCCCCTTAAAGCTCAAAGAAAGCCAAAAAAAAAGTTCTCATGGTATTCCTTGGGAAGAGGTTGTGCTTAGATGAGACTGGGTTTTATTTCACTAAGACTATGACGTCTGCCCAAGGGAAATAACGAAAAGGGTCAGAAAGAGCTGCCCTCTATAAGAAGGAGGGCCACTGGAGCCTTGAAGACACTCAGCTGTGAGGCCTTATTCTGTTCCAGCCTTCTTTACTGCCCTCGATGACCAAGCAAGCAACACCAACTTGAAGACGCTCCTCTTCAAATAGAGGGCTAGGAGATGCACAGACAGATCTCGTGGGGTCATTACACTTAAAGAGGGCTGAAACTGCACATAAAAGTCAAGAGACCAACGACACATTGAAAAAAATAAAAATAAATGAACACACACATACAAGCTCTCTCGCATCGCACAGGACCAACCTCAAATACACAAAGAGCTCCTGGAAATCAATCATATAGAGACTAACAACCCAACAGGGAAAGAGCAAGGAGCACGAGCAGACACGCCCCCTAAAAAGATAAGAATGACCATTAAAGGGGGCGGGGGGTGGGAAGGGACAGACTGGGGTTTCAAAATGTAGAATAGATAAACAACGTTATACTGTATAGCACAGGGAAATATACACAAGATCTTGTGGTAGCTCACAGCGAAAAAAAAAGCGGCAATGAAAATATGTATGTTCACGTATAACTGAAAAATTGTGCTCTACACTGGAATTTGACACAACATTGTAAACTGACTGTAACTCAATAATAAAAAAATGTTTCAAAAGAAAAAAAAAGAACGACCATTAAGTAGGCTGAAAGATGTTCCAATTCATACATAATACGGAAAATGCAAATTAAAACTACACTGAGATACTATTATTTCTTGCCCAACACACTGGCTGTGGAGAGAGACACAAAGTTCTATGTCATTGAGCTGAGTGCAAAATCTGACACTTTCTATAGAAAACCTGGCAAAGTTACAACTTCAGTGCTTCATTCACTGGGGATATATATCAGTGCAAAACTGACAAAAGTCTGTGCCCTTGTGGGGCTTTCATTCTCCTGAAGAAAGATGAATAACAAGCATAATAAGAGTACATCAGAATGAGGTAAGTGCAAAAAAAAGAACAGATCAGGGCGCAGCAGATTGGGAACGAGAGGGGAACAGCTGCAATTTTAAGAGGATCCTCAGGATAGGTTCACTGACAAGGTGATGGTAGATGTGAATGAGGCAAAGGAGTAAGCCATAAACATACCTTTAGTAGAAGCATTCTAGGCAGAGAAAATGAGAATAGCAAGTGCAAAGTCCCTGTGGTAGGAATGTACCTGGCATTTAATCTGAAAGAAGTGATGATGCATATTGATTGGTTCAAAGCCGGAGAACAACATGATCTGACCTGCTTCGAACAGGATCAACACAGCCGTGTTCTGAGAAGTGGCAGAAGGACAAGTGTAGACGCAGAAAGGACAGCTGGATCGCTAACGAGTGACCGTGGTGGCTTGGAGCAAAGGAGGAGCTAAGTAGTGGATCCTGGATACACACTGAAGGCAGAGCCAACAGGATTTCCTGACAGACTGAACGTGATGCATGAACAAACACGGACTCAGTGATGACTCAAGAGTTTTTGACCTGAGCAATGAGAGACTGAAATGGGGAAGATTACAGGTGGAGCTGATCTGGGGCGGTGAAGAGCAAGAGGTTTGAAGTTTGGCAGGTGTGAAGGGGTTGACTGACCCGCCAGGTCCACTCTTGGGAATCTGTTTGACAGATTCGTGTGCAAACGTACAAATTCATGTACTCCAGATTGTGTACAACATCCCGGTAACTGAAAGATCAGAAGCAACTAAGACCAGAAACAACTCTGCTTCTTAAAGTGTAGCCCTGTTGCTTTCGCTTTCCTTCTCAAAGACCTACCACGGCTCCCCACCGTGTTCAGAATTCAGGCCAGATCCCTTTACTAAGCACTGCAGAGTCTAATACTGGCATCCGCTTCCAAACGTCACCCAGTACCCTGTCCAAAGAGAAGACTCAGTGTTTCCAAGACTCATCTCTGCTTTTGGCCATCCTGTTCCTGTCTAGCCTTCCCGTCCTGCGCGCCTCCACACAGCCACGCCCTGCCCTGTCAGGCACATCCTGGACCAACAGGAGCCGCCTGCGGGGAGCTGCCTAGGGTCCTCCCATCTGGAAGGAGTGCACCCTCCCCTGGCTTCTCAATCTATGTCTGTGGGACTTCCGTGTTTCTTTCATGATGTGTGTTATTTGCACAAAATGTCTTTTCTTATCTCCTCAACTGCAATCTCCTTAATAACTATATCCATCAATTATTCAACTTCTTATCCCCTAAAGCATCGAGCATGTTTTATATTCAGCAGACGTTCAAAAAAATATGTTATGAATGAACGAATGAATTTTAGGGGAAAAAAATCCCCACTTCTGGTACAATGCTCTAAAAATGAAGGTCTTTTAGAAACTCTAATACATGCAAGAGCTTCAAGATTCCCGAGTTGCCTCATGGATTGAAAAACGCAAAAGCTCCGTCACTCCTCTCGCGAGGAACCTTCCTTTCTCATCCCCCAGTGAGTCAGTTATTCCTGCAGCTCTATTTCCCAGGTCTGGAGTGTGTACTTCCTGAAGCAAATGCTTCACATTTCAGGTGAGGACGGGGCTGTCCTCCAGCAAGGAGATGTGGTCACTCACATTTCTTAGACGGCACGACTTACCAAGAGAAGGACTTGACATGCTCCTGAATCATGATCCAGGTCTGGCCAAAGTCGTCCGACTTCCATAGCTGCGAAGACCAAAGCGACAAGCGTGGTCACGGTACAAGAGGCATCACCGGCAAACACCCCCGGAAACCCCACCCTCAATCACGTGCCGCCCGTGAAGACGGGCGCGGGGACCCCCGCGGCCACCTCGGTTACTCCACGGGCAAGCACGGGCGGGGAGGGGAGGGCAGATCTGCACCTCTGTGTTCTTCTCCACAATAGCAGCTGGAAGGAAAAATGACTGTGACTTGTCTTCCATTTACAGATGATCAGAAATTATATTTTATTCAAGACGGGCCCTCAGAGGATGGTTAAAGTGAAAGGGTTACACTCGGTACTTCTCGCCTGGGAAACAAGTGTCCTTGAAAACTCACAAAGAAAGCTGAGTGGAGAGGACTCTGGCTAAGTGCAAAGTCAAAGGCACCAAGCGGAATCCACCAAATACATGGCGTGTGGCTGTGAGGAACTGACCTGCTGATCTCTGCCAAAGCCTGAGGGTTCCTGTGGTCCTGGGGACCGCGGAGAAAGAGGCAGGAGGCCAAACAACGATAACCCACCTACACCACCCCCACGGAGGCTCCTCCCTAAGGCAGGCGAAGATAAACAGGTCTGGTTTTGCTTAAACACCCTGCAAAGGAAAAGAAACGCTCCACGTTTCCTCCGAGCAAAGCCAGGATACTCATCACGGACCCAATCGACAGGTTTCACACGGTTATGCCAGATCGATGCTCCTGTTTCAAGTTTCAACCTCGAGAAAGAAATCCTACTGGATCGCTCCCCATCTCTCACGTTTCCTTCAAATCCGAGTTAAAGAAGGAACATGGACACATTTTTTTTACATGAGCAAGCACACACACAGGGCGAATATTAGAGCTCATGGTAACTTCAAATAACTGGTGGGCAAAGACAGTGTGATTAAGGTGGAGGAGGGGAAAGGCGGAACAGGATCCGACAAGAGGACCCCGCAGAGCTCAGACTCCAGACTTCTCCACCTGGTTCTGATTCACCCCCGACTGACCCTCCGCCGCCCGGACTAACGAAGGTGCACCTGCCGTGAGACAGGCCTGATGTGTGACTATGAGCGAGGGCCTGCGGGCCGGGCGCTGCTCCCTGGCGGGGATGCAGACAGAGAGTACCAGGGACGTATCTTTCCTTAGCCATGGGAAGTGAAACAGGAGCTGCCAAGGCTCAGCCTGAGAGAGGAGGAGGGAGGGGCAGGGGAGGTCACGCAAAGGACAGGCAACCCCCACCAGCAGAGCAGGACACTCGAGGAGCCCCATCTGACCGTGTTCCCGAAGCTCTCTTACCTGCTTGTTGGGGTGAGACCTGTCAAAGCCCAGGAGAAGGTTGGAGGCCTTACTATGCAGGAGGAGGTCGGCTGCCCGGAAAGGGATGGAGAAGCCTTGGATGGTGTTGCAGAAGTCATATGTGGTCCAGAGGTACTGGGCATAAGCATCTGCAAAGATGTACTGCAAGGGAAGGGAGTCGAGCTCAGAGCAGGGCCTGGCCGGGAACCCCAACAGCCCCACCCGACAGCATGCAGGTGCCCGGGGCCCGCGGGGCTTCCGCATGGCCTCCTCATCATCTCCCGGCAACAAAGAGACACCAGTGCACATACACAGGGCTCAGCGAAGGTAAAGGTGCAGGCAGGCTGCGATGAAGCCAGCCGGTGCTCCTGCCCAACCTGCTAATGAAGCTAGTCAAACCTTTTCTATTTTTCCTTTCAGCTGACTTGGGCTTTCTGACTCCCTGGTGGGGCACCGGGTCATCATCAGAGGGTGGCTCTAGAAAGCTGGACAGAGGCCTGCTCTCCAGACGGGCTGCACACGATGGGCCTGCGGACCACCCACCCCTGCACCCCCCGCCAAGCCTTTCCAGGAAGATCCCCGACATTGCAGCCACCCAGGAAGATCAGCGTCTCCTTCCTGCCACTATGCCAGGTGACAGGGCAGCTCTGGAGCTGGCAGAGTCCCTCTGGGGCACAGCAGGTGGGCAGAGCCCTCACCTTATTTTGCTTCTGCACAGGTGAGTGCAGAACTTTGAACAAGTTTGGCTGGAAAGTGACTGCCGGCCGAACGAGTTCTCAAGGGGAAAGGATGGAGGTAATTCGACTAAACCCCCGTGCACTGAATCTCCACCACAGACCACACGCTGGCGGTGCCCCAGAGAAAGCAGAGAATCCTTCCTCTTAAGTACCTTCCAGTCTAATGTGGGAGAAAGACATGTCCACAGCCAGCTACACTCAAAAGAAATGAGATTAAATCAGAAACCGTGGACACAGTCCGACAACTGCACAGATGATATATCAGCTCTGACTTGGAGACCAGACAAGACCCCATGGAAGATTTGAGCCTTGCAGGGTAGGCAAGACTTCCACGGGAAAGGAAGACTCCAAGTTGTGGGCAGTTTGATTTGGGGTACAAAAGAGGAGGAGAAAAGAAAAAAACACAGCACAGGTTTGATGACAGTCCTGAGGGCCTATGGGAGGTATCAGAACATGAGGTTGGAAATCCCAGGTGGTGACAGGCCTTTCGTGCACACAGAGAACTGCAGACAGCCCAGAAGTACAAGGTGGTTCAGGAGACGACCGTGAATCTGAACTAGAGCAAGGGGGACCCAGCGCCAGCAACTCCCAGGCACTGACATCCTGGAAAGCAACAATCCGGAGGAATCCCGTCCAAGGACACGTTCCCAAACGGATTCCGCCTGAGCCAGATCCGGCTTCTCTCTGAGTCCTTTCGGCGCCTCCAGCCTCGGCTGCGGGAACACTTGTTTGCACATTGCTCTCAGATGTTCCTACTCCTTTTCCTTTGCGCGCTCTCTCCCCACATCCAGACTGTAAACTTCCCAGGAATGCCTTTTACACGTTCTTTCTCCTGTGTTTCCTCCACAGGATCTAATGTAAAAGTCCAGACTCTGGAGAAGCCTCATTAAATCTAACTCCAAAGGGCAGTCAATGCTGTGAAAGCAAAAGCTCCTGGAACCAAACGCAATGTGATAAACACAATTATGATCCTAAAAGGACCATCCCAATTTGGGGCATAAGAGTGTCCCTGAGAAAGAACTTAGCCCAACCTCCTGCTCCAAAACCATCTTGCTTACTGGGGAAGGGAGTGTTCTCTCAGTTTGAAATTTTTTCCCCAGAGCTGTTCCATGGCTTCCTGCAGACTCACCTTTGAGAACCTGGAAATCATGGACCCAGTCTCAGACCTGAGGATGCTCTGCTGTAATTGTGCAAGAGCACTTCGGATGTGCCAGGCTCTGAGCTGGAAGCCTGGCTCGCCTTCCCTCCTCCCCCCCACGGAGCGCCCACTGCAGGCGGGTTCGCGCTGTACACAGTTACCTCCCCTCTTACTGCTGAGGACACTGACGCTTAGGGTCACCACGCAAGGTGACCAGGAGGCGGCAACATTCACATCAGCTTCTGGCTGGTCCCTCAATCCTCACCTTTCTTCTCCCAACAAAAAGGCAGCATGTCCCAAACTGAAGCCATCGGTCTTACACTGCACTGTTAGGCTCACTGAAGTGAGCTAGGCTCTCTTAATCCGCTTCTTAAGCGTGCCCAGGAACCTCCCTTGCCTCTGCGACACTATCTCACCAACTGTCCCCCACCACCCCACCCCGACCGTCCGTCTTTGATTCTCTCTTGCCAGCTTCCTTGTCTTCATCAGCTCCTTACCCTCAGGTGAACTCCGAACTCTCCCATCCTTGGCTGCTACCCTGGTTTATGGGTCATCCTTCCACAGAGCTTCAACGACTGCCTCCAGAAGCAAGCATTCCATGATCCTCAAGTCTCCACCGCCCACCTCGACTTCTCCCTGAGAGTCTAGTTTCATGACCTTCTTTGCCTTCTCAGCACCTGCACTGATGTGCCCAGATATCCCATTCTGTCCAAAACTGAATTCTTCAACGCCTCTGCCCCAAAACCCAATTCTCCTTCCCCACGTCCCAAGTTCTATCCATGCCACCCCCCTCCTCCCAGCTCCAATGCTCACAATCTGGGTCAAATTTCTACTCCACTCCCTGCCTTCGGGCCGCACTTTCAATCAGCCACCTACCTTGTGGTCTTTCCTTCTAAAATGTTTTTCACCATCAGTGCCTTCCTTTGTATTCCCAGAGCTACTAGTGTGGCCCGTGGCCCTCCTAGAGACTAGAAGGAGCCTGGGAGTAGGCCCCACGTGTTATGCATCCTCCCAACTTCTGGGACCCAGCAGGGAGGGAGATACTTGGAGGGTGATATTAGGTTTGCTTGAGTGACCAGGCAACTTCATGCCCATATTTGCACACGGGTTCGCTTTCTGATTCTTCTCAGGTCTTATCCTTCCAGCCCATCCTGCACACTGCCAGCAGACACAGGTCCCTGAGAGTCAGTCTTCACAGCAACTCCCCAACTCCAAGATTCCTCCACGGCTCCCTCCAGTCCTCAAGGCAAAAAGCAAGCTCCTCCCTCCTCTGACGGGGCGTCCCTGACATCATGAAGCCATTCAGTGCAAACCCTCCCCTCGTCGCCTGCAGAGGAACCACATTTGGCACCCGATGCCTCTGCCCACTCCTTTCTCCTCCCCGAGGGCTCCCACCAGCTCTGCTTGAGCTACTGAACTCATGCCCATCTGTGAAGTTCCAGCCCTAATCTCAAGCACCCAGGAGCCTTTGCTTCTCTGATCCAACCCCACTTAAGTTGAACGCCCCAGCTCTAATTCCTGTTGTTAAGTAAACCTGTCCCATATGCACATAGTAGGAAGGCACAGAACGTCCTACTCTGTTTTTAAGTCCTGAGGCAAACTGCATGTCAAGTCTGCTCAAGGCGACCCTATGGATTTGCCAGCAGAGCTGACCTACTGGGTGCTTCCTAACCTGTGCGACTTCTGAAGCATCCTCACATGCCCCCACCTCTCCAAGCCTGTCTGCAACCACTTAATATTCCAGAGGTGCTCCAACCTCTAGCTGAAAGCTATGTTTCCTCTTAAAATACAAAGACCTCTGGAAAGTTGACAAAAGATGCTACAGAATTCATCCTTGTGTTAGTGTAAGTGATTCTCTCTGGTCTTGACTGGAGAAGCCAAGGGAGCTGTGAGAGGAGGGAGGGCAGAGGAGGCAGTGAAGGGACACCTCTCCAGGAGGCGGGAACCTAAGGAAGCAGAGCGAGCTGTTTTACCATTTCACACGGGACCAACACCTGCCTGCCAAAGGGCAGGACCAGCTCTGGCTTCCACTGAGGCATTCCATTCCAGCTGCACATCCAGTGACCTTCCGCAGAGAGCCCAGACACATCCGGACACTGCTGGCTGATCCTGGGTGCGGGACAAGGCTGGCGGAACCACCAGGTGGCTGGGGCAGCACACTGGTCCCAGAGGCGGCACCCGGGGGACCGAGAAGAAGGAAGTGGGATGGCGGGCTAATTCAAAAATAGACGCAAACACTCACATGACCCCACAGCTGCTCCACCTGCTCAGCGGCACCTGCCTTCCCCTTTCACAGGCACACCCCAGCCACCCACCAAGACTTCCACGTGGCCCTTGTGTGACATCTTAACCTTTCAGAGCAGCTGCTCACAGTCATTTCAACCTCTCAATAGCCCTCCTGGGCAGCCACCCTGACATTTCCACACGGGCAATCTGCTGGGGCCCAGCACCCTGGGGCAGGGGGCGAAGCACTCTCCCGGGAAGCAGTAGGTCTGGTGCGGCAATTTGCCTTCCAAGGGACAAAGGTGAAAGTAACCAAAATCATCGGCCCAGTGAGGGTCACTTCCTTCCTGAGAAGTCTCGGGAGGGGTCGCAGCCTCCTCTGGGGAATAGAAACCTGACCTCACTCAGCCTGCTCCAGGCACCAAGTTCTCCAGGAAGGCAGCCCCCCATATCCTCCCACCAACTCCAAGATATCCCCAAAATCCAAGGCGCCCTCTTCTTCAAGGTGACAACACTGAGGCCTGCCACGCCAGTCACACCTGCATCCCCTGGGGCTCCATCCCTGGTTCTCCTTCCTTCCTGCCCCAACACCCCGGCCCCTGCCCTGCTCCTCCTCCTGCTCCAAAACCCCATCTCCTCTCCCTGCACTAATCCCTCACCACCTCTGCAAACCCATAACAGCATCTTTCCTGTCTCTGGCTCTTCCGACAAGCGGGCTTGGCAGCTGCTCACCCCAAGCCACCACCAGCAGGAAGGGAGACAGAGCCTGCTTACAGACACCTGTGCCCGGAGGTCGGAGGTGAGCTGGGGACAAGGATGGGGCTGAAAAGGAGATTATAGATGACAACGGGCGTTTCAAGGCCACAACTTCAGCAAGAGTGAACTTCGGGGCAACGTGTAGTAATCAGAATAACAATCATGGATAGGTAGATCCGGACAAAGGGACAATTCCAAGTGCTGCGTGATTCCTGGTGGGGGTGGGGGGGTGGGGTTAGGGGCAGGGCATACAGATGGGTCCACAGGAGATGCAGCACAGCCAGGGAGCTGCACCCTGGGTCGGTACCAGGACTGCCTGGCCCCAGGCCGGCGGGGGAGAGGGCGGGGCGCAGAGGGCCTGCCCTCCTGACTGCAGCGCCAATTCCCTCCAGCCCCTTTTCGGTGCTTTTCTTCACTGAGGGAAAAGCTGTCCTGTCACCGGGGAGTCAGACTAGAGGGGAATCTGTCCTAACTGCCCCTCCACTTTGAGACCGTCAGGCCGGACTGATATTAACCAGCGGGTACCAGCAATGCTATTTTAGTTGTTAAAAAAAATAATAAAAATGCTTCTCTTAGTAAATGGCCTTGAAAGCTGTGAATGCCCCACCCAAAGCCGCAGGGGCCTGGTCCCCTCCCCAGCACCTGCCCACAATCCAGCAACTGAAAGGTTAATGGCCAGCTCAGCTCCCTCAGACCGGGTCTATTCTGATTGGTCAGTGCCATTCTGATAGCTAAATATTTTGAAGAGAGCCCCTGCTAACAGAGCACAGACCAAAGGCAACCTGAGAAGCCAGTGCTGGGTGGGGGGGACCTGGTCAGAGGACCCTGTGGATTTCACTCTCACTCCTTTCCGGATGAGCAAAGACCAGCAGCTACCGTCCCTCCGAGAGCTCTGCTGCTAAGGAGCTCATTTTTCAGCACCCTTAGAAGGAGCCATCCCATGCTGGAAGTGAGCTTAGGATCGCCAGAGTGGGGAAGAAAAGCGACCCAACCAGCAGGAAAGCCCTGGTTCCCGCACCCCCCTCTTCCTCCCTTAGGGCCCAGGGCAATCTCAAGCCCAGGTTTCCTCCAAATCAAACTGCCCAGGTTCTGATGCAGAAACAAAGCCCCAGGCCAGCCAGCTGGGAAAACAAATCAGGAGCCACAGCAGCAGGAGCTGCCACAATCTCTTCTCTATACCAGTCCAGGTCGGAGAGGGGCGCACACGAGTGCACACACATGTGTGTACGCACTGGTGATGCCCATGAAACCTAGAGTCTAGCAGTCACCCTAGAATGGGTGAGACTTCCATGCCAGTCCCAATGGACCTGGGTAACATTTTTGCCACCTATGAGTCAGGCAATTTAGCTGGCAGTTGGCAGATTTTCTGCGCTTTGACCTGCCACTGTTTGTCTAGAAATCCTGCTCGGCCAGTACTTGACCTGCTTGATTATGCACGGTTCCACCCTGAGAATTACACTGTCACCAACTCCCAGCTGAGCAGAAAAGCAGTCCCTGGCTACCAGTCAGGCTGCAAAAATGCCTAAGCGCTCCATCCCCCATCTCCCTTTGGTGCAGCCATCTTCCCCAAATACAGCCCCGTGAGGGCAAGACAGGGCCCCTCTTACACGCTTGTTGTCCGCAGGGCTGTGGTAGAACTGGGCGACCACAGCCTCACTGCTGTTTCCCACGCCATAGTTTAACTTCTCGGAGATTTTCTTGAATGATCTTCCATAGTCGTAAGACACGTACACCTAGGGTATGGAGGAAGGACAGAAGAAAAGAGCTGGTGAGAAAAGTGGCAGAAAGAACGCGCCCTTTGTCTCCACGTTCAGACATCCCCACTGCATCCTGGACATTCCCGGCAGGTCCATGATACCAGGAAATTGCAGTTGGGAAGACAATCCCCCAGGGAGAAGCAGGCACCTCCGTATCTGTCCCCAAGCCCGTGGGGGCACTGCTGCCACTGCTACCGGGAATGCACGAGCCTCTTCTCTGAGGCCAAGATAACTCCCCGGACAGGGAGACACGGGGCCAGAAACCAGGAGAACCTCCTCACCACGGCCGGCGTGAGTGCTTAACACATGACATCCAGAGGCAGAGAGAATGCAGTTGTCTGAGGGGAAGGGATCAGGGGTTTGTTTTGCCATCTGTTGAAATGTCTGCAAAAGGCAATCTAATTCCTCATCTCTCTACTGGAAAGTTCTGTTCTTACAGCATGCCAGAAGATTAAAAAAAAAAAAAAGCACCCTCAGGGTCTTCACGGGGTAGCCCCAGAGACGAAACAGAGAGCAGCGCTAAGTGACCGAGCGTGCACAGGGCTTCCATGATGGGTACCGCATCCCTCCCCCAGCCCTCAGGTTGCCGGGTCTGTGCTATGGGAGGTTCCTCACATAGGAGAAGGGCAGCGGGGCCCGGGCGGCTGCCAACAGTAGTTACTCCCCTCCTGCTTCCGGGTTTCCGGCTCCCCAGTAACCACGGTTATAAAACAGAAGAGTAAGTCACGCACTTGAGTGCTTGCCAGGTGCCGGAGACTGTCAACACCCTCTTCACATGCATGAGCCCCGGGAGCACCCCCCTGCCACCCCACGTGGCAAACGCAATCATTAAAACTGTTTTACAGATAAGACAGCAGGGGCTGACGAGACGAGTTACCTGCCGAAGTAACAGAAAAGGTATATAATGGCATGGGATTCTGACCTCCACTCCCCACCTCCAAAGCCAGAAATCGGAAAGCCATCACACCTCAAAAACAGAACGGGAGAGTGGAACCCGTCTGAGATTTTGTCCCTAGACTTTACTCCCTATGAGATGGATATAATCGGGGGCTAAAAACGAGCCTGAGAGATTAACATAATACTAGTAATACTTAGAACTGGGGGAAGCCATAAGAAAAAGGACAGGTGAGTCCCAAGAAGAATGGGAACTGAGGGACGAATCCTAGATGGTGTCCCGCCACCACTGACTCCACAGCAAACGTGGCTGGAGGGCCTCCCGTGAGCCAAGCACAGGGCGAGTCCCCAGACATACCAAGACACGGCCTCCCTCACAGCGGGCGTGTAGACATGCCAGCACTTACAAACGATGCCCCCGCATGAATGACAAACCACTCCAGGTTGTGCAGAGAAAACTAAGAGCACACGCGGGCTGTTAATATTTATTAGATGTCGAGATTGGAAGGGCGCAGAGCCTCTGGCAGGATCTGGGTCACCGTGGAAGAGCTGCTCCAAACACACACGCTTAGACACAGCACGTGCCCCTGACCAGCAGACACCCAGGAAGGGGCGGCCGCAAGAGCGGCGTCAGACACTCAGCAGGTGAGCGCTCACAAGCAGGTGAGGGGCAAAACGACCGGCGGTACTTCTCCCGTCCATCCTCCCGGCCGAGAAGGGACAGGAAGGGTCCTCGGTGATGCTCAGGAGTCACGGGTAGCATCTAATGGCTTCTCCAAGGGAGAACTCAGGCGCCTTCCAGCCCCAGCATCCCATAAACGGCCGATGCACGCTGAGTTCCCGCCTCAGAGGCACAAGGGAGGTGACATGCTCACATCAGGGCAGCATTTTCAGGGCACAATACTCTTGTCTACATTCTCTCTCCTCATCTTTAAAAACCCTGTGTGAGTCTCTCCTTTGCCGCCCCCCGTGTACCTGGAACATAGCAGGTGCTTGGTAAAGATTTCTGGAATGAATAAATGCCATTATAACCCACAGCGTGAGTAAATGAACGTGTTCCATGAATGAATAAAAGAGAGCAAAATGAATGAATCGGTAAGTGACTGAGTGGATAACTGTTTCCACTTAAGAGAGAACAAAAAGTAAGACTCGGAGGAATGAATGGCCAGCCTGAGGCCACACGGCTAGACAGTGACAAAACCAGGCCGGGTCCCCCAGCTCCGGGTCCAGCAGTCTTTCCACTCTTGCGAGTTAACCTCACAGGGGGATGCTCTCTAACACACACGTGTGTTTCTCTGTTAAAGAGGAAGATCACACACCAGAGCTACAGGCAGGGCGGTGGAAGAAGCGCTGGGCGGAGGGAGGAAACACCAACCTGGAGAGAGCACAGAGCCTTTCCCAGATTCTGCACCACAGCTAAGCCCTCAGGGGTACAACCACTCTCCCGACCGAAAAGCTCTCCCTTAAAAGTCTTATCTGTGAGCAAAACCCACCTCTTTGGGTCTTGCACTAAACAGATGTAAAGAGTAGGCACGTGAGCGTCCAGCCTATGTCCAGGCTCCGGTAATTGTTCACCAACCTTCTTTTCTTTCTCCGGGTTGAAGAATTCCAACACGGTATGTTTATCCTAGCCTCATCACTCTCATCTCGATTAACCCAGACCCAGGCCCCACAGGGCAAAGACAAGCTCAGGGCTGTGCACCGCCACCCACTCTCCTCCACAGTGAAGAGCCCAGAAGGGGCCTCTGCCTGTGTCCAGATGAGATCTGGTGGCCTGCAACGGCACCCCCAGTGCCACACTCTGGTTCGGGGTATCTCTTCCTCTTGCAGCACAAGGCTGCTCCCTCCCCTGCTGCCTGCAGCGAGCCCCACGTGCACTGGGGCACATCTTGTGCTTCTATGGTTCACTTTGCATCCAGATGTAGGTTCCTACACTAATTAGTCTCCTCTGACCTCGACAGGGCACTACTCCCTGAAGAACCCAAAAAAGAGGGAGTTCCTTTTTTTAATAGAAGTAGAGTTGATTTACAGTAGGATATTAGCTTCAGGTGGACAACACAGAGATTCAGTATTTTTACCGATTATTTCCCATTCAAAGTTACTACGAAGTAATGGCTATATTTCCCTGTGCTGTACAATATATCCTTGCTGTTTATTTTATGCAGAGCAGTTTGTATCTCTTAATCTCCTATCTGGTTTCTAAGCTGCTGAAAGTTGCTAGTCAGTTCTTCATCTTCCCTATAAAGATGGTCCTTCGAAGTGAACGGCTTTAAATTATTTCCCCAGTAATTCAAAACCATATAATAACAATGAGGAGGCGGAGAGGGAGGCAGAGAGAGAGACGGGGAAGAGGCAGGGGAGGGAGAAAGGGGAAGCAGGGTCAAAGTGTCCAGAAAACATCTCTCTCCACACCTGGTGCTGTTGTAAGTACTTTGCACCAGTGCTTCTCAAGCTGTAATATGTCTACAAAGCACCCAGCAGGACACAGGTCAAAACACAGACTTCGATTCCGGAAGTCTGGGGTGAGATCTGAGATTCCGCATGTCTAACCAGCTCCCAGAGAATCCCCACACTGCCGATCCACAGACCACCCTTTGGGGAGCAAGGTTTTACAAGGACTCTCTCACTGATGGATGAGAAAACCAAGAGGAAGTTAATGACTTGGCGCAAGGTCAGACTGCTCATGAACGATAGAGCCAGGCTTCAAACCCACACACTCTGACCTCAGAGCCAGGGCTCAGCTGGACACCAGCTCCCACAGGCTGCCAAGGTCTACACCATTGGAAAGTAAGAACCTTGCTCCCCCGTCAGTTCTCGGGGGCACCGATCACACTGTCCCAGCCCTCTGAGTAGGAGGGCAGGGAGCCCCACCATTCCTGGTTGACTCTCATCTTCTGGTGGCACCATCTCTGGACGGCTCTTTGGCCAACTATGTGCAACTGAGCGCTTCGTAAAACAGGTCAGGAGAGTGCAGAAATGAAGAGGTGGGAGGGTCAAGATACATAACACCTACTGCTTCCTTTCCTCTACCCGCCTCATCACAGAGAAAGAGGGGTCCTGCAGGAGCCACGCATCCCAGAATCACACCAGCTGCAAATTCATCGGGACGTTATTTCTTTCTTTTTTTTTTTTTTCCTGTTTCAGAGCAAACCTTCCGAGATTCCAGATCCAGATCCACCCCTTTTTAACATACTGACGACGCGTGAGTTGGCCATTCTCCCAAACTCACACAAGCCCCGTGTTTGTATAGGTTCTCCTCCTTCTGGGCTGCCGATGGGGCCTTAGGAACCAAGCTTCCAGTCTTCACAGAAAATTGAGATTGTCACTACTCCAGCACCACCTACTCCTGCCTCTGAGTCATAGTTTATTTTTGCATTCACTTTTCACATCAGAACACCTCAGTTTTATCGGCCAATTCTTTAATGGAGCTTGTGTGCAGATGGAAGAAACCTATGCAGCTCCTATTTATTACCTCCAGGCGTGGAGTTTCCTTCCCACTTCATCTTCTCGCGTGCTTCATTCCAGGACAGCTCATCATGTCAATGTGCAATGAGTCCTTAGTAAGAATCACCCAAATACTTGGACAAAGAATGAAGTGTGCATAGACCAGCAGTACATGCAGGTGACCAGCCTTCCTGGTCTGTCCAGGATGGAGGAGGGTCCCAGGATGTGGGACTTCCAGTGCTAAAACCAATACGAGGTGGTCCCCCTGGCAACACTACACCCTCACACCCGAGCACGAGATCAGGTCTGGAGTCTCCTTTGCCCCAACCCTCCCACAGACATGCTGATCACTGAATGTCTCTGGGCCCCTGTTTGTCCGGCAAAACAGTAAAGAGATAGGTCTTCTACCTCTCTTGCCAAAAATACTATCTGAACGAAGAATGTTTAAAATGCATTTTAAAAAAATATGCGTAGTTTACTGTACAGGAATCATACCATAACAAAGGTGTTAAATAAAATAAAATGCATAAAAACTCTAAGTCAGATTTCTCAGCACGGCAGGCAGAGAGCTGTCTCCTGTGCTCAAGAGGGATGCCACCAAAAGGTGACAATGCTGAACAGAGGGGCCCACAGACTCTCACAGGCCAGTGGTCATCCACGCACTGCTGTCTGTGTTTGCAGACCCTGATCGCATGTATCCTTGGGCCAAAATCATTGCCCCAAACAAGCCTAGCCCAGCCCCGATCACTGGGTCCCCACCAGCAGTGCTCAGCACCCACCCTGGGCAAAGTTGCACATCACTGTGGCCAGCCCTTTCTCTGCCCTCCCCATCAGTGGCCACCCCAGCTCAACCCCTGGGGCCCCCTCTGGTGACCCACCTCGGAGCACATTCAACCCCGACAGTGGACACATAGAGAGAGGGGCCTCACGGAGCCCAAACCCAGGCTCGAGAATTACAAGCATGTCCTTGAGGAGGATACAATGGTGCCAGCAAATTCATCAGGAGCCCTCCTCTGGCCGGAGCGCAGAGGGACCGAAGCCCTGCGACGTGGTGGTTTTCAGGCCACAGCTGCTCCCCTTCCCCACAGGAGAGGTCTGGAGCCGGGGCCACAGGCTTGGGACCCAAGGGCTAGATCTGGCCTTCATCTCTGTCTTACTTGGCCCACACAGGGTTTGTAAAAACTATACATTAGCTGCCAATGGCTAAAACTCAGCAGTCTTCACATAAAAATCCAGACTTCTGAGTTCCTCTTGCAAAATCAGATCTAGCCACCCTGGGCCCTGTGTGGCAACCGGAGCTCAGAGTCCCTCCCTTTCCCCAGAGTCTCTCTGACACTGAGACCAAGGAACCATCATCACATTCACATTAAGGTACAGGTGAACATCTCTTGAACTGGTATCTCTATCAAAAGTGGGAAAATGACATTCTGTCTCCCACATACTTCAAGAAAAATGGGAGCGACCACCCTTCTTATCCTAAGAGGTAAAGAGTGGTGTAAACTTGGGGGTGTGCCCATCATCCACGGGGCCTCTAGCACAGAGTTTGTCACCCTTAGTCTAATGTCGTCAAAGCACCCAAACTATTAAACATCGCAAAAGGCTAACCGTGGAAATTAAGAATATGAGCAATTCAGATTTAAGGCCTCAGCCAGCTGTCACGGTGAGAAGGAATCAGCACGCGGGGAAAGATCAACCTGATTCCATTGGGCCCCACTGCCAACGAGCAGCCCTGCCCAGGAGGGCATCCGGCACGCTGCTGAGCAGCCGCAACAATCCACGTCACACCGGGTCACCACACGACGTCTGCACAAGGATCTCTTTGCCACACTGCCTGTACCACCCCATGTTCAGCAAATAAGGGATCTATGTGACTCTCCGGATTCCCCAATCACCCAGTATTTTTTTTCTGGCACGATCACCCCGATGAGTGAGCGAAGGGCGTCCAGGCTGTGCCCACGAATACCCAGACCAACACCAATACTTACATCACTGCTCCTGGGCCTCGCCAGCGCCAGGCTGTCCCGGGCTAAGGCCACAATGACATCGCTCTTCTCTCCGGCCCAGTGCACCACCATCTGATTGTGGGAGTCATTCAGACTAACCTGAAAGAGATTAAACCGCACAGGAATGAGGACCCCGATGAGTGACAGCCATCGTCTTTCTAAAGCAAGACTCTCTCCCTCTGTCACTCAGAAACGATGAAGATGCTTGCTCACACCTGGGGTACCAGGTCAGGGTGGCCTGCTTTCCCCACCCCGCTGATTCCACCAGACTCAACTTCCTCAAGAAGAAACACCAGTCCTCTGCTATTTGGGATTAGCTGGATTGCACAAAAAAAAAAAAAATCTTATTCCTGGCTCTCACTGGCATAACCAATTACTTGGTTTATTTTTGTCCTTTGTGAAATCACCCTCTGGTTACTCTCATCCTTACTCCATACGTGGGACATGCACTCGTCAGATCTGAAACCACACCACGGAAGCATCTTCCTCATTCAGTAAAAGGGACATAGGCCAGAAAGACCACACACTTTCAAACCTCTGTTCCAGCTGGTTCTCTCTGGCCTGCAGGTCATGTTGCTTACCCTGAGCCCGAAATGAGGAGGAACGAAACAAAAACACCAGAGTGAGTTAGTCAGTTTTGAAGTAACCCAAGTAAGGAAATATTTTTCAGGACGCCACAGAAATGACCTTTGGCTTATTGCAAACAGTAGTTCCCAGGCTTCTGGAACTTGTAAACCAGTAAAATGAAAGTAAATGAGGAGAGCCAGCGGAGGACTGTCAGCCACTTCTATTTCTCCATGTAAGGACATCAGCAAAACAGCCACCATGTCAGAGCTGGACTGGCCGTTCTCTAATCTGTGTCCCCCGTTTCCTGAGGACACAGCAGACTCTTGTGGGGCCCCAGCCCGGCCCTGTCCGGAGGCTGCATTTAGGGCTCCCGAGTCCCAGAGGAGGGCAGAGCCACGGGATGGGGGAGCCCACATCCCCGAGAAGGCCCTCCACTCGCTTGGAACTTCCCCTAATTGGGAGACACACGCACACCCCTGAGCTCCTGGAATTCACCGGTTACACTGTCACCCCTGCTAAGCCATAAGACCACCATCCATAATCACCGTCATTTTTCAAAGAAAGGACGTTTTAACCCCGGAGACTGAGGAAGGACAGACTCTGAGAATGAAGAACCGTTCCTGCCGAGAAGCTGCGCTGCGTGAAAACCTAACTTCGTTACGCGGGTGTTTCCCATTTCACCCGTCACTGCTGGACAGGTCCAGGGCCGGCACCTTGGCCCACCTGGAGCCATTCGTTACACCCCCTCCGTGGGTGAAGGGCCAACTGATGACAGAAATTCCGAGAGCTGGTCTTAGCATTCACAATCAGAACAAGCCCCCCCCCCGAAAAAAAACCTGGATTGTGAGCAACATCTGTTCCACCAGCCCCTTCAACCTTGGCCGTCTCGGACACGTGGGGAAGACTGAGCTTCCAGACTCGGAGAGGCCTCTGCGTGATCCGACCTGCACATCCCCCCGCCCCTCGGATGGATGCAGAAGACACGCCTGAGCCGGCATGCCCTTTGAGCTATCTTCCTATCAAGGCTCTGCAGCACAAAACCCTGCCCCCCAACAGCTGCCTCCTCCTTTCCCTTCCTCGTCCCCGACCCCCCGCCTCCTTGAGATGCTCTCAGATGTCACAAGAGAGAAGGGAACAAACTTGGCTGACAGAACAACACAGGGCCTAATCCTGGACTCCTTTACTTTTGGGCCTCAAGCACCTGCATCTAATTTGATTCAGGCTCCAAGCTCTTTTGGAAAAATCTTTGAAATGAGGCCTCTTCAAAGAAAAAGACCCTGGATTTTTTTTTTTTAGGAAAATATGTCATTTCAAACTGTTCCTTCTCATGCCCAGAGATGTTAAGGCCGATCAAGCATCGACAGAGACGTGCAAATAAAAAACAGAAGTCAGTAAACGATGCAGCCCAGGATGCTGCAGGGAGAAAGCAGGTGAGGCCGTCTCCCCCACCCCCACCCCCCGACGCAGCCACCTTCCTCCAGCCCTCCCTCCCCACCTCCCCTTCCAGGCCTCGCCTCTGGGAAGAATCTGGAAGCATCCAGGAATTAGCACAGGTGGCCCGGGAATTCAGGCTAACAGTCTTCTCCCTCCAAAATACCCAGAGGGGAATAAACAGCAAACATCAGTAAAGAACCTGGAACCCAGAAGGATCACGGAAGTCCATCCGGGGTCTGGGATTTAAAAAAAAGCCCAGCAAGGCTGCACTAGGGCAACCTCAGAACAGCCCCTCCGGCAGGTTCCCAATCCAGGAAGGCTCAGCACAGGTTGCAAAGCCTTCAGTGATCAGAGTGGGAATGAGATCTGAACACGACTTGCTGAAGCCTTTCTACTCAGAGGACGTGAGATTTATGGGGCCCCTTCAACCAATCCTAAGAGAGGTGAAGGGGTGAGCGGGGCACAAAAGACAGCAGCAGAACTTCCAAGGGCCTTTCCACAAAGGAAGCCTGGAAGGCGAGCTCGGTGAAACACCTTTAAAAAAACAAAAAAAGATTTTATTAGATGTCCCTTTCATTCCGAAGAGCAGACTGTAAAAGGGCAGACCAGTGAGGAGGCAAAAAAGAAAAATCCCTGGCAAGAAATAGCTTGTCCAAGGGCCACCAGGCGACTCACACACAGTTCAGCTCCTTCCCTTGGCTGGCAGTCAGCAAGGGCACCTCCTGGTCAGGGGAGTAACTCCCTGCAGAGCCGCCTGGTCCCCGCCCCCGAGCCCGAGCCTGGCAGCCACGAAATCCGTGCACCAGGCAGGCCGGCAGGCTGTCACTTTTACTAAGGCGGAGACATCATCCTGCACTCTGGCCTCACTTTGCTCCTCCATCTCCCCTTGGTCTCCGCCCCCGCCCCGTCCCCACCCCAGGGGAAAGAGGAAGAAGTCAAAGCAGGCTCTCCAAGGAAAGTGGTAGGAAAGCCGGGAGCCAGGGCAGCCCCCAGCAACGAAGAGCGCCCGCAGGGCCCCGCGCTAGCGCTAGACCCCACGCTTTGTGGGTGGTTTCCTTCATTTGTGTCTTTTTCCATACCCGCCACCACCACCGCCACCGCCTCTCCCCATGAGCCCCCTGCCCGTCACCAGCCCCCTCGTGCAGCTGCGAGCTCCCAGACCTCTTCTACCAGCCCTGCTCACGTGGGACCCACAGACCACCAAGGCGAGGAGGGGTGGGCACACACAGACCCAGAAGACGCTGGTCTGGGAGCGAGTGGGCGGGGTGGGAGAGTGGCTTTTCCAGAACATAACCTTGATGTGCAGTCAGTTGTAACTACAACCCCGGGGCGTGAACAACCTTCCCTCTCCCATCTCCAGCTCACGGGGCGTAGCTGGAGCTTGATAAATGAGACACAATTAATTGGAGCTGTAAAAAGCAGCAGGGAGGGGGGCCCACCGCCTCCCCACGGAAGGCAAACAGAAAAATCATATGCCACAGAAGCCCCTGCACACAGAAACTGCATCACAAAGAACAGCAACTGGGGTGCAAGTGGGGTGGGGGGCAGGTCATTAAGGGTCAAGATAGCCCCCCAGAAGTCACCTGGCCCAGGGGTCCCAAACCCGGCTGACATTCAGAGTCCCCAGGGAGACCCCACCCTGCTGATTCAGACCCCTCTGACTAGAGGCAGGAATTGGCATCTTTTAAGACACACCCCTGGTGGGGGAGGGTATAGCTCAAGTGGTAGAGGGCATGCTTAGCACGCACAGGGTCCTGGGTTCAATTCCCAGTCCCTCCTCTAAAAATAGATAAATAAACAAGTTAAACCTAATTCCCCCACCCCCGAAAAAAAAAAAAACAACTAAAAAAAAAAAAAAAAGACACACCCCTGGTGTCTTTAATGCAGCTTCTTGGGGAACGATGGATCTAGTTCACTCCCCTTCCTCCTGGCAGACCCTGGGGCTTAAATGGCAGTGGCTAAGAAAGCTCATTCTTTCTGTGGGCGGTTTGTCTTTGGGTATCTTCAGCAGCTGTTAAAACTCTAAGATCTACTGATATATGCCACAATGTAGACAAATACTACCTTAAGTGAAGGAAGCCAGACACAGAAGGTCACCTATCACATGGTTCCACGTATATGAAATATCCAGAACAGGAACATCCAGAGAGTCAGAAAGCAGACTGGTGGCTGCCAGGGGCTGGGGGAGGCGGGGAGTAGGCAGTTAATGGGTAAGAGGTTTTATTTTGGAGTGATGAAAGGCGTTTGGAGCTAGACAGAGGTGGTGGTTACACAACACTGCGAGTGTACTAAATGCCACTGAACTGAACTGCTCACTTGACAATGGCTAACCTCATGTTCTGTGAATTTCATCTCAATTTTTTTTGAAAGCCTCTACCTACGACCTGTGAAGAGCACAGTACTTCTCAAGGGCTGAGCCAATACCGAAGAGCTCCCACTCTTAAGAAGCTCTTCTTTCCTCTCATCTCGATCCTTCCTGCTACCAAAATATGCAGCTAGAATGAGTCACAGAGGAGGCAGGCTGAGGAGTGGGTCTCTGGACAAAGCGATCCTTCAAAGTGCTGTCAGCGGTATCTGCAGGGCCAAGGCATCCCCGCAGGTCCCTGGCTGGAGAAATGGCCACAGGCTTGGGGCTGGCGTCCACTTCCAGCTCACCAGCCCAGACGGGCACACCTGGGTCCACGTCACCCATGTTGTCTCAGTCTCCTGGCAGGCCCTGGCGTTCCAAGGAGTTTACGTGATTTGCCTCATTATTCAGGGACGGGGACGAAGCTGCTGCCACCCGAGCCCTGAGCTCTGGGTTGTTATAAATAGGAGGGCAAATAAATAGTTTGTTGTGTGAAAGTCCCAACAGCCTGCGCACCAGCCCACTAGGGGCTGGGTACCCTTTGGGGCTCTGTTCTCACTTCATACGTGTCAAGAGTACACAGCACCTCTAGGGGAAATCAGTGTGGCAGATCTGACCAGTAAATAAGGAATTTACAATAAAATCCACCAAAATCTGTATCGTCACTGAGTCATTCAGGAAGATAGGGTCCCTTAATGGAACGGGTCGCACTCTGTCTCCCGCCATCTCTTCTGCCATTACCTCTTCCACATCGGTCAGACCTGAAGATCAGG